TATACCATACACGTAGCTTCAGTTAAAATATTGTACAGAACATATAGACGTAATATTAAATTTTTTAACGTATTGGACAACATGACTTAAGAACTAACTATTACCTATATTTATTTAATAATATTTATGTAAAAACTGAAATATTATACGTAAGTAATAAAAAAAATATGTACTTATATAAAAAAAGACTTACCTCCATTTGAATAGGAATACTTATTAAGACTCTCTCTTACCAATACACTAATACACAATTACAATAGAACTACAACTGGAGTCGTTTAAGCCGTCTTTTTTACAAGAATTTGAAACTTTCTGTTTCCGAAACGAAAACGAAGCGAAATCTTCGCCAATTTAGCATAATGATAAGTATCAGACACACATGTACGCTTTGCAAACTTGCACACTTTCACTACATGCATACAGCCGAGATCCAACATGAATCAAAGAACAACACAAACAATATGAAATCGTTCAGAAGTTCTGGGGATTATGGAGGTGATACCTGTGCACATATTAGATATATAAATACGTAATAACCCTCCCATTAGTTTCTTTTCCGTATCGATTAATTACAAATAAAAGAAATAAATTAATGAAAATAATAATCAAAGATGATTCAGGGGCGAAAAAGATTTATTAGAATAAAACCTACATCTTCTTGTTTTGGAAACAAATTAATAACAAAACCATATATGTCACACTGTAATAATAATTAAATCAATCGTTTCTAAATTGCACAATACTAGCGAAATTTACTAGTTTTAAGTCTCATTTACACACAGTGAGTTATTAGAAGAAGGATTTAAGGATGCCCTTTTAGTATTCAGTCATTACTGAAAGCAATTTGTAAAGCAGATAATGCACCACTTTCACCGTAACAAATTACTGTTTGCTCCTTAAAATAAGTGATGAAGGGAACAGTTGAATCGAAAATAGCAGAATTTTAAAAGAAAACAACTCCAGCACCTAAAAAAATAATGGAGAGATTAATTGTTATAAACGTATTTACTGAAAGAAGTAGACAAATACGAGTTCTGTTTAAGTTTCACGAATTTTGTGCTTTTTCAAAAATTGTTTATTTATTTATGATAGGTGGTATAAAACCATAACACTCAATGAAAATTACATTTAAACAAAAATGAAAATGAATATTTTGTCCTCATGGTTTAGTGCTATATTATTTCGTATTTAACTTATTCAGTGTTTCCTAGATTTACGTTTACGAGATATAGCTATTATTATTGTGTCAGTCTAACGCTACCGGGTTCAGTTATTTATTAATGATGCATTTAATAATTCATCTGTCGTATGATGTCTCTCGTCTACTCCAGTTTTATGGCAAGTGAAAAAAAGAAAGTAAAATTATGTGGAAAGCTAAATCAATATTTTTTTGCTTTCACCGTAAGAATTATTGCAGACGATCATAAAGTGCGTCGTAACAACTGTTTAAATTTCGTGAATTTGTTTATGCTGGCATTTAAAATTCCTTTATTTTTCCAAGAAACTACTTCAAAGAAAACGCGGGATTACAAACCAAGTACAAAAGAAAGTATCACTTTCTCTGCAATTATATAAAGTATTGCAATCACCAGATTATTTAAAAGAAAAATTACATCCATGAAATTTAACTATGTGGTTAGATACTATTATTACAAGTATTATTTGTCGAAAGTATTCGGTAATCTCATTAGCACAATATGATACGTAGGAATATGATTATGACGATGGTTTTACATTTACATGTTTGTCGATGTTGTTGATTGTGCAATATTAATTTATCAATGAAGAATTTAAAGATTATATTTTCCACTCAACAGTATTTCTTATGTGTTACTTATATGAAGTTGGAGCCAAAAACTGACACGTTTCATCGGAAAGCTTTTCAACCCTTAACGATCACATGAACAGAAACATGAAATCTAAAATAAGAAGGAATGAATGAAATGCCGATATGAGAAATTATAACTGACCTCAGATTTGTATAGCCTGCAACATGCTTAGCTCAAAAAAACACAAAGCGTTACGACTCTTATCAATCATATTAATTGATTGATAGGGGTGGCAAAGCTTTGTGACCGAAATGTCTCAGTTTTTTCATTTTTTTTTGCTCTAACTTTCTATAAGCTATAAGTAAAATATACTATGATAACCTAGCAACACATAAATACAATTTAGTTGATCTTCAGTTCTACAAAACATTAATAAATTGAAGCAGGACTATTTTACTTCTTTCTTTGTGTCTTCCAAAGTTGGTCTACACAAGTGCTCTATAACAAACAGAGGGACACATTTTTCAACTTTTTGAAAGTATTCTCGGCTTGAGTTCAGTCTTATCTTACTAATATTATAAAACGGTATTTGTTTATATACTTATAAATAGTTCTACCCGCTATTCCTGGCGGTATAGATGAAATTTTATTTTGGAAAAAATAAATGTAATTCGAAATTTCAATATTTTTAAATTAAGTCGGATTTGTGTTAACTTTTGCGATCTTA